ACTTTTTTTTACTTTCTCAGTCTTCAGAAGGAGAAATGGATGAATGTCAGAGTGGGAGACATCATCAAACTGGAGAACAACCAGTTTGTGGCAGTGAGTTTTCCTCTATAGTCCTTCTTGACATTAATTAATTAATTAAACTTGGTTTAATAAAATAAAAAGACTCTTTACTAGCTCAGCAGTCTCAGACATTACTTGCAGTAATTCAGGGTCATGTACGCATCAATGTCTGATGCATTTGCTCTTGAATACTGCACTGTGATATTGATCCAGTAGCCAAGGTCTAATTAGCTGATTCTGCCTCTGGTTATGTAACCCTGACTCTCGAGGATGCAGTTTAGGTGTCTTGTTAATATGCTAAATGCAGTTTGGTCTCACTGTATATCAGTGTTATTTTAAGATGATATACTGTAGATACTATTATAGTTTTAGTGATATTTTTTAATAGCTTTCCTTTGTGTACTACTCAAATTTCATTTTAATTTTAGTTCTATTTTTTGTAATTTTGTCATGTGCTTTCATAGTTTTTATTCATTTTTGTTTTTTTTAAATATTACTGTTTAGATTTATTTTTATTTCAATTTTAGTTTTCATTTATTTTATTTTCAAATTAGTAATCTTAGTGTGTCAGCTTTAGAAATGCTGCATTTGGAATAAGTTTTCACCTAATATTTATCATTTATATTATTTCAGCTTATTTTAATTAACAAAAACATTTGAATAGTTTCAGCTAATAATAGCACTGATGTATACTGTATATGTGTTACAGGCTGACCTGCTCCTGTTGTCCAGCAGTGAACCACATGGCCTCTGTTACATTGAAACTGCAGAACTGGATGGGTATGACTGTGTTTTTTTCTCGAATTTGCTGTGTAACTTGATTTCATACTTCCAGTGCAACTTAATAAAATGTCAATGAATTTTTCTGCCACAGCGAGACGAACATGAAGGTGCGTCAGTCTCTGTCTGTTACCTCAGAGCTGGGAGATCCTAATAACCTGGCCCGGTTTGATGGTATGTGATTTGGTATTGATGCGAAAGTTAGCCAGAGTGGAAATGAGAAAGTGAACTAGTAAGAAAAAGAAACAGCTGAGCAATATTGTGAACTGATAAATGAGGGAACTTGTTTGCATGCGGTATGTTTCAGATTTGCAGACGTTTATGGAACAAAAATAGAAAGGCAATAAAAGGAATTGCATATTTTCATTGGGGGCATTCCTGTGTGAGTTGCACTCACTGATAACCACAGTTTAATTACATATTTTAGCACAGATTCACTAAAGTAATTATGCAAAGTAGGTAACGGCACAAACGCATCCAAAAGAAATCTGTGCAAAATAAAATAATGAATACAATAAAATGTATAATTGAATAAATAAAATGTATAATTAAAGTTAAATTGACATTTCTGAAAATAATGACTTAATTTAAGTATGCATGATGAAATGCTATACCAGCGCAGATAACGTCAGGATAAATGTGATTATGGGCTAGTGAATAGATGCGCTGAAAATGCAAAAGTGCAACAACTGTTTGACCCCACTATGAGCTAGTTTACTGGAGGAAGCGAGAACAAAAGATACAGTGAGTCAAAGTGTGCGGAAAGTAAATTATGTGGTGGACAGTTTCTCAGCAACATTTCTTTAACATCCAACACAATATACTACCACACACACACACGCACACACCATCACATGTGTCAGCACAGACCACCCACGCTTCCTGTTTTTAAAGAACAACAAAAAAAGCTCACAAGTTGTACAGAGACCCAGGATGCTGAATAGTTGGTCATAACATCTATTACATAAAATGGTACTGTTTCAATGTTTTCAATATGTGTGACCTCCTTTTTCCTCCTGTATCTCTCGCGCTGTGTATGTGCAGGAGAAGTGGTGTGTGAGCCTCCCAACAACAAGCTTGACCGTTTCTGCGGGACTCTGTATTGGAAAGACTGCAAATACCCCCTCAGCAACCAGAACATGCTGCTTCGCGGCTGCGTCCTGCGCAACACAGAGACCTGCTATGGCCTTGTTATTTTCGCAGGTTGGTGTATGTGTTTATGTGAATATGTGTGTGTGATTAGTTTTCATTTTAACATGTCATGGTGCACCTCAGGTCCTGACACCAAACTGATGCAGAATAGTGGACGGACTAAGTTCAAGCGCACCAGTATAGACAGACTGATGAATACACTGGTGCTGTGGGTGAGAAACACACTCACTTACAAACCTCTGCTGAATTATCGAACCGAAATATATAAACAGCATACACTCTCCAAATTAATGTTTGTCATTTTCCCCTCGTCAGATTTTTGGGTTCCTGGTGTGTATGGGAGTGATCTTGGCCATAGGAAATGCAGTTTGGGAAAAAGAAGTGGGTGCTCTGTTCCAGAGCTTTCTTCCTTGGGACCCTCCAGTGGACAACTTCCTGTTCTCAGCCTTCCTGTCCTTCTGGTCCTATGTCATCATCCTCAACACAGTCGTGCCCATCTCCCTCTATGTCAGGTGAGAGAGAGCAAGATGTGGAGGGAGAAATGTCATAATGGAGGGAAAAGGATGAATTATCCAGTGGGAACTGTTCAGGTGGCGCTTGAATAATGGACTGCAGCAATACAATATTTTGAACATAAATGTAAAATTCATATGAGCTGTTTTATTTCCTATTTATTTTATATGAGGTTTGTCAACTATTCCAATTATCCAATTTAGGACTTTTTGGATTTTTGTTTTTAGGGATAAACAATGCTAAGCATTACATTTTAAGTCATTCAAAGAACATTTTTACTACAATTATTTTAATATTAATTTAACCGTTTATCTTAAAATTATGTTGTTGTTATATCAGGGTTATTATCAAAAATTATTAAAAACACTTTTGTTAACTGAAATATAAATCTAAATATTAAATGAAAAACTGAAAATAGATGAAAATTTGAAATTTTGTCTTGGCAACTAACTGAAATAAGGTTAAGTTGAAGTATTAAAATTACTAACTGGGAAAAAAATGTAAACTAAAACTGAACTGAAATAAACGCAGTAAATTAAATCTGAATAATTAAAAAAATAATAATACTAAATGAAAAAATAATAAAATTACACAAAATTCAACGAATTAAATTACAAGCAATATATGAAATAAGCTAATTAAATTAAATCTCATTTAAAACATAATATATAAAATAAACTAATAAAATAAAAGCTCATTTAAAACATAATATATAAAATAAGCTAATAAAATAAAAGCTCATTTAAAACATTAATAAAAACTATAATAGTATATGAATAACACCATTAGACACCAAAGTGTATCATATTCATGAAAATTCCAATTATAATCTACTTCTCTTCTTTGATTTAGGTACTTTTTTTGGGGGGAAGTACTAGCTTAGATTCATTTTATGCTTAATGCATCCTTTATGCATTCTGCTGTTTATTTTATTTTGATTTATTTTGTTGTTTTCATGTTTCCTCAGACTTTCCCTAACAGGTAAGAGATAGACCCCATAGACCCTTTTTTCTCTCTCTGACATAACAACAGCCTCCCGTATAACACAGTCCATATAACACCACTAAAATCCTGACCGAACCTTTCTGAATGAGCTCTAACCCTGCCGTGTGGTCCAGTGAATTTAACCCACCTCTGACTGGTACAGACTCGTACAGGAAGAACTGCAGCATGGCACAGCATGCACATACCCAAAATCAGTTTTTGCAGTTTTCTGACAGATTTGTGAAGTCTCTAGAAATGAAATCTTGCTTTTAATGGTCTGGTAGACTGTTGTGCCATTGTCTGTCTCAGCTGCATACTAAATAACCTATGTCTTTAGAACAGGAAAACTGTGTATTTTTGTGTTTTGTTGTGAGTTTGCCATGTGGTCAGAGATCTGCAGTCAATTTGAGTGTTTCTACTGAAAAGCAGGTCACATTTGCATTGTGATGATAACCCTCCGTCTGTTTCTCTTTCCATCGGTCTGAATCTCTTAGTGTGGAGGTGATTCGTCTGGGTCACAGTTATTTCATTAACTGGGACCGGCGGATGTTCTGCAGCCGTAGTAACACAGCAGCAGAGGCCCGGACCACCACACTAAATGAAGAGCTGGGACAGGTGGAGTACATCTTCAGTGACAAGACAGGAACCCTCACCCAGAACATCATGATCTTCAACAAGTGCTCCATCAACAGTCACGCATATGGTGAGGAGCAACATATGGCAGTTATATCCATAGTATAATGTATAATGTGCAATCAGCTGGCCATTATCATATATATCAGTCTTGCATCATGTTGATGTGGATTATATGGTAATAATGACCAGCTGACTGTACATTACTTTATTTATTACACAGCTGCTTACCAATCAAGTATATACTGTATATATATATATATATATATATATATATATATATATATATATATATATATATATATATATATATATATATATATATGTATATAATGAGCAAATAAACCGATAAAACACATTGTCGATTTATAATATAAAATTCATCAACTGTGCACTTGAATTAGGTACAGAATGTAGCCAGAAACATTTCAAATCTTTTTATTAATATTATTACATTATTATTGTTATTACTATTATTATTTATTTATTTATTTTTGAACAAATGGCCATTGAAAGCTTAACCTTCATTTGGTCAAATGTTAATCATTAAGAGGTCAGACAAAAAATAAATAAGATATTTTATTTGTACTCTCTACAAACATTAAAAAGTAATTAGATAACAATAATGTTAATATTAATATTTATAATAATACATTTTTCTATTGGAAAAAAATATATAAATAATTTGTTTTTGAACAAGTAGTCATTGAAAACTGAATCTTCAAAAATGTCCAAACAAAAATTAAATGTTTAATTTCTACTCTTTATTTATTTATTTATTTAAATGACATTTAAATAAACTATAAAAAGCAAATATACAATAATAATAGTATTTATAATAATAAAAACATGTCATTATTGAAAATAAAAATAAATAAATAAATAATAATGGATAAAATAATCAAGTAAAAAAAAAAAAAAAGGGAAAAAAAAAAAAAAAAAAAAAAAAAAAAAAAAAATGCCAAGATGGTTTAGCAGGGTTGCAGATTTATAACAATTTGGTGTCTATTTTAAAATAAATGTTTTTGTGATTATTGTATATTTTATAGTTATGAACATTTAAATAAACATACATTAAATAGACTGATAATAATAATGATGATCTAAGATAGATAGACAGACAGACAGATAGATAGATCTGCAACGTGTTATTTTAGAATTATTTATATAGTATTATAATATTTATTATTATTTTGAATTAATATTTGTTATTATGAATTGAATTATTGTTTAATCAAGATGCCTTCAAAGAAGATAATCATGACCTATGTCCATCATACAGTGCAGTCTATATATATGGACAATTGATAGAAAAACGCTTCAGCAGAGTTGCAGATTTATGACATACAGTATAGACACATACACTTATAAATATTTTGTATTAGGTTTGTGTTACAGATCTCAATTCATTCTGTCTCTTGTTTCACAGGTGAGGTGATGAACATTCTGGGAGCTCAGCAGAAGGTCAGTGCATCCAAGATTCACTTTCTGGAGTTAAAGAATTTGTTATTTTTAAAACGTTGTTGCTCAGAAAGATCTTAGATCATCTGTTATTCTCAGAGGGTCCAGCCCCTGGACTTCAGTGCGTGGAACCCCTTAGCAGACCGGGACTTCTGTTTCTACGACCAGTCTCTGCTAGAGGCAGTGATGGTGGGAGAACCAGCGGTGCATGAATTCTTCCGGGTCTTGTCTCTCTGCCACACGGTCATGAGCGAGGAGAAGAGCGAGGGTAAGGATCTGGAACAGTCTTTGAGGATCGATTATCTGCCTTACTCAGAGAACCATTTCATCCAATAGAAGAGTTTAAATAAGGTTTACTTAAGGAAGCTGTTGACTTTAATATTGTTAGAAGGAAATGATATAGTAATTCTGGATTGTAATATGATTATATTATTTCATTATCTGTCCTTTTTCATGTGGTCCTCCTTGCTTATTGTCTCTGTCTTTCACTTCCTGAAGGAGAGCTGCTGTATAAGGCTCAGTCTCCAGATGAGGGGGCGTTAGTAACAGCTGCACGCAACTTTGGCTTTGTGTTCCGCTCTCGCACACCTTGCACAGTCACCACCCAAGAGCTCGGCAAAGCTGTCACATACACGCTCCTCGCCATCCTGGACTTCAATAACATCCGCAAAAGAATGTCTGTCATAGGTAACACAAGCACACACTCTCAGTCCTGCAACTTTGTGAAAAGCTCAATATGCAATATGTCACAAAAATGAAAACGCCACCACATGAAATCATTTAAAAAAGTAATGTTTTGTCAGATTGATTTACTTTTGAGCCCAAACTGTGGCTAGGTACATACACACACACTTGTACTCGGTACTTCAGAGTGTACCGTTTTTAAACATTATTTTGGCTGTAATGCCAGATGGTTTGGCACTGTGCGAAAGAGAAAGAGCCAGTAAAATTCCCTTAGGACTGAGAAATCTGGATACAGCATAAATACTGCGCTGCCAAGCATCATAAATAAGTGGAACATTAGCGCTAAATTCAATACAGAACGTGTCGTGTGTGTCATATACACTCTCATAATGCTGAATTATGGCCCTTATGTTCAGGTAAGTGGTGCTTACATTGCAGCAGCCATTTCATTTTTGTGTGCATATTGTCATTTATGTCCATTTGATCTGTGTTTACATGGAAAAGTGAGAGATTTATTGAGTGCACTGCAGATTTTTCTCTTAATAAGTTTTAAGCATTTTTTCTCCATAGCAATATCCAAAATATCTTAAAAATAAGATAATTTGTTTTATGATTTATAAAACTAATCTTATACATATACATGAATTAGTTTTTACCAAATGGGTAAGAAATATGCTTAATTCAAGATACATTATCTGAAAAGAAGTCCGATAATGTTAGGACTATGAGATAATGGGAGCTATAATAAGAAAAGAGCTTCTCCCATCACTGCAGAGGCACAAGCACAATCTGTAATTCAATGTGTGTGTGTGTGTGTGTGTGTGTGTGTGTGTCTCTCAGTGAGGAATCCAGAGGGCCGTATTCGTCTCTACTGTAAGGGCGCAGACACTGTGCTTTTCGAGAGGCTTCACTCTTGCAGCCATGAACTAATGAATATCACTTCAGACCATCTCAACGTGAGTGTTTTCTTTTTGGGGTTTGTTTATTTTGTTTATGTTAGCTTAGCACTGTTTATATGAAGTTCTAAATTACCCCACGGTCTGCTACTGTCTTTATAAGACAAACAACAGAGCCCTCTAGTGGATATTTTAGTAATTAAGCGCTTTAAAAAAAATTTTTACAAAATACTAACTAACTAAACATTATGTAGGATTTTTGCTGTAATATAGTTATTTCTTTTAGCAATTAAATGAACATTTAAAATGGTAAAATATGAATAAAATGTATTTTCAAATAAAATGTAGCTGCAAGTGGACAGGGTTGCAAAATCAGTTGAATTTAAGATCTCACTCCCTAGGGGAAACGATTTTAACACTTAGGGGAAAAGTTTGGTACCAAAACATTTGTAGTATGACAAATTCATACTTCACATGAATTTAAAGTCAAGTATTTATTTAATCTTTTAATCTTTCTTTAAAATAACAAGTGAAAGGATTGAAATGGTTTCTGTTTTCACAATAGAGAAAGTAATGCTGTAAAATCAGGCATGCTAAGCCTGTATGATAATATTTTAATTATAAATATGTTATAATTTCTAATATTAATTACCAGTATATTATTATTATTTATAATATTTTTACTACAGTAAATTTGGGGTCAGTACGATTGTTTTTTTTTTTTTAAGAAATTGATACTTTTATTAAGAAAGGATACACTTATAAAACGTGACACGAGAGACTATTACATTGTTACAAATAAATGCATTTTAGATTGAATAAACTTTATTCATCCCCAAAGAGAAATTTATGCATAAATATATCTGTAACACCCCTGTGGACTGTTTGTTGTGGTTTCTTCCCCTGTTGTTGGTTTAGCCCGTTCAATTATTAGTTAATCACCTCATTATGCTCACCTGTCTGTCCCTCGATAACTGCCCTATATCTGTTCCTGTCTCTTGTGTTCCAGTTTGTCGGTTATTGTGAATGTTACCCCGAGTGTGTGTCTGTCTCTGCCTTGTTGTTACTACATTAAATAGCCTTCTTTTGAATCCTTGTCGTCCTCGTCATCCTGCCTGCCTCCACACACCTGGACCGTGACAGAATAACCGACCCAAAAGTACAGTATAGCGGCGTCTTTTCCCTCGTCTGTTTTGTCCAGTTTTTTTGTGTTCTAGTTTGTCGGTTATTGTGAATGTTACCCCGAGTGTGTGTCTGTCTCTACCTTGTTGTTGCTACATTAAATATCCTTCTTTTGAATCCTTGTCGTCCTCGTTATCCTGCCTGCCTCCACACACCTGGACCGTGACAGTATCTTAAATGAATGCTGTTATTTCTGTTCATCAAATAATTCTGAAAGAAATGTATCACAGTTTCCACAACGATATTAGGGTAACACTTCATAATAACTTTCATATATATCTAAATAATACTATAATAATAATATCATAAGTCATTAACGAACATTATATAATGCTTAACAGATCATTAATTAAGATATATTGAAGTAGCTCGAAACATGAGATGATGTGCATGTTAATGCGCCTAGGGACTAATTAGTAAACATTAACAAGCACATTATTTCATATTTGTAAGTATGTAAATATATATTAACTAATGATTTGTTGAGCATTATATAATGTTCATTAATGATTTATTTATGAAAGTTATTATAAAGCGTTACCCGCTTGAAAATGTATTCAAATATAAAATTATAGGTTAAATTGTAAATTGTAATAATATTTCACAATGTTACGGTCCTACTGTTTATTTTTCTGAATAAATAAATTGTTGTTGCTACATTAAATATCCTTCTTTTGAATCCTTGTCGTCCTCGTTATCCTGCCTGCCTCCACACACCTGGACCGTGACAGTATCTTAAATGAATGCTGTTATATCTGTTCATCAAATAATTCTGAAAGAAATGTATCACAGTTTCCACAACGATATTAGGGTAACACTTCATAATAACTTTCATATATATCTAAATAATACTATAATAATAATATAATAATAAGTCATTAACGAACATTATATAATGCTTAACAGATCATTAAGATATATTGAAGTAGCTCGAAACATGAGATGATGTGCATGTTAATGCGCCTAGGGACTAATTAGTAAACATTAACAAGCACATTATTTCATATTTGTAGGTATGTAAATATATATTAACTAATGATTTGTTGAGCATTATATAATGTTCATTAATGATTTATTTATGAAAGTTATTATAAAGCGTTACCCGCTTGAAAATGTATTCAAATATAAAATTATAGGTTAAATTGTAAATTGTAATAATATTTCACAATGTTACGGTCCTACGGTTTATTTTTCTGAATAAATAAGTTAATGAATGAATGAATAAATAAATAAATGCAGCCTTCAGTAACCATCATAGTCTTAAAAAAAAAAAAAAACTTAAAATCTTACTGACCCCAAACGTTAGAGGCAATGTATGTCAAATTTTTTAAAGAGACCTTTCAAAAGAACGTTGAGGTGGAGCAGACCAAAACAAGCATTTCATGTTTAAAACTAACAGCTTTTGTTTCCTAATAGTTTATCTAACATATCCAGTGGTTCTCAGCACTTGGATGGGTTAAATGCAGAGCACAAATTCCGAGTATGGGACACCATACTTGGCCACACGTCACTTCACTTTCACTTCACTTTCACTTATTATTATTTTATATTTATTAATTATACAATTTTATAATTCCATGTTTATTATAACACAAATAAAAGGAATACAAAAACTATCAAGAACAGCAACAGTGAAAAAAACACATAGCCTAGCTCATTATTTATATGATAATAATCCTTGTAATATAATTGGACTAAGATTAAGTTCCAAATAGTCCTGATGGGGGTCCAAACCATATAGAATTTATCCGTTTTCAAATGGATTATACAAGTAAGATGTTATAATGCAATAAACTCAAAAATAACCTTATTCCATGGTTTTATTGAAGGATTTTTTACACTAATCTATGTTTAAATTTAAGGTTATCATATAATATAGAGATTTAATTTTATTTCAGATCTATTTCAATTACAGGAAACAAATGTAATAGTTTTAAGTTTTAGATAATAATAACAGCACTGATTTTGTTTAGAAAATATCCGAAAGATGGCATTTTTAAATATCAGATTAATGGTATTCATTTCAGTTTGGATGAAAACCCCTGGTCTTAGCTGGTTCAAGCTGCTCTTACTGAGCTGGTGTTTTGCTGGTTCATCTGAGTGCCCAAAACCCCTCTAAATCCAGCTCACCAACCAGTCAAGACCAGCAAACCAGCTTAGGCTGGTTTAAGCAGGTATTTCTTCAGCAGGGATATTAAGGAATATTAAGTTTTAAGTCCAGCTCACAGTCCAGTCAAGACCGACAAACCAGCTTAGGCTGGTTTAAGCAGGGTTTGTTTTTTCAGCAGGGATATTGTTATAAATCCAGCTCACAGGCCAATCAAGATCGGCAAAGCAGTTTAGGCTGGTTTAAGCAGGGTTTGTTTTTTCAGCAGGGATATTGTTATAAATCCAGCTCACAGGCCAATCAAGACTGGCAAAGCAGTTTAGGCTGGTTTAAGCATGATTTTTCAACAGAGGTATTAAGGGATATTTTCCTCTCTCTGTTGGCCAGGCTCATGCTTTGGAAGCGGATATGGAGCGTGAGTTTTTGGAGACGGCGTGTGCTTGTCGAGCAGTGATCTGCTGCAGAGTGACTCCTCTTCAGAAAGCTCTGGTGGTGGAGCTGGTTAAACAGCATAAGAAAGCCGTCACACTCGCCATCGGAGATGGAGCCAATGACGTCAGCATGATAAAGAGTAAGAGAAAAAGAGCAATCTTCAAACATTGGGGTTCTCTGAGTCAAATTACTAGGATTGGTTACAGCTAGTGGTTACGGTAATAATACACTATCAGAATCTGAATAATATAGCATAATATACTATAATTATTGTGCAACTGTTATACACTGCTGTTCAGTTGTTTGGGGTTGGTAAGATTATTTAATGCTTTAATGAAAGCATACTTTTAAATAAAGTCTTTTATGCTCACCAAGGCCTAATTTTTATAATGCGGTTGAAAACTTATTACATTTTAAAATAACTATTTTCTGTTTATGTAATGTATTCTTTTGATAGCAAAGCTGAATTTTCAGCATCATTACTCCAGTCATCAGTGTCACAGGATCCTTCAGAAATCATGTTAATATGCTGATTTGCTACCCAAGAAAAATGTCATATTATTATCACTATTAAAAACAGACTAATTGTACTGCTTAATATTTTTTGGAAACCGATCATTTTTTTCAGGATTCTTTGATAAAGAGAAAGTTCGAAAGAACAGCATTTATCTGAAATAGAACATTTTTGTGACAATGATAAAGTATTTTTTGTTTAATACATCCTAGCTGAATCCTTGATGCATTTAATGCATCCTTGCTGATTAATTAATTAATTGTTTATTTATTTATTTAAAAAAATAAAAATTAATTGTGACCCCAAGCTATTGAACTGTAGTGTATTATTGTAATTATTATTAGTATAATTGGGAACTTAAGATTTTTCATCTTATTTTGTAGGTAATTTACAAAGGTTTTTTTTCCCATTTTAATGCCATTCAGTTAGGCTCATAAATTATGCATATTACAGATAAAATGTGGTGTACAATATTCAGCCATAATCTCTTCTTGTGATAACTTCTTGTCATAACCATGTGGAGGATGTATTGTAAGGCTTTTTGAAGCAAACAACTCAAGAAAAACAATTCTAGTTCCTTTTTTAGCTTATGCAAAGGTGCCCCCAGAGAAACCAAATTATTGAAATTCGGTCAGTTCGTTCAGTTTGTTGTTGTTACATGTGGTTGCTTCATTTCCCTTAACTGAGCAAAAACATCTCAGAACTGTGTCGGTGGGCTCTCACAGTGTCACAACTATATTTCAAAAGGCTCCTGAGAACATGGATAAGAACGAGATGTGGAGGATGTGGTTTATGTCCAAATCTCTTTACACCATCCTGTGCTGTCCCTACTCAATATATTTACACGCACACTCACACACACGTTCTTGCCCATGTCATAAGCAATGTCCCATCTTCTGTTTGTTTGATGCTATGGGTGTCTGCAGGTTACTTTGCTGGTGTGTAGGAGTCAAGTGTCAATCTCAGTAACATTAAAAATGCAGAGAACACTCATCAAAAGACTGATTGACAGTAGTACTACACTCTTAAAAATAAAGGTTCTTCACGATGCCATAGAAGAACCTTTTTGTCTAAATGGTTCCATAAAGAACCTTTAACATCTGAAGAACCTTTCTGTTTCACAAAAGGTTCTTTGTGGCAAAAGAAGGTTCTTCAGATTACAAAAAGGTAAGAAAGAAATGGTTCTTTAAAGAAGATGGTTCTTTGTGGAACCAAAAATGGTTCTTCTATGGCATCGCTTGAAGAACCTTTTGAAGCACCTTTATTTTTAAGAGTGTAGTGTGAAGAACAAATCTCTTTCACTGATTTAAATCACTTTGGACTGTCCCAAATCTATGGTTTTAGTCTGTGGGATATTTACATATTAGTTGATCTGCCTTAACCTACCATTGAACCTGACCAGCACTAAGACAGATGATAAACAAAAGCAGGGGCTTTCAAACTAGGCTCCAGGGACTGTCCTGCGGCCTCAAGTGGGTGGAAACAGGAGGAAAAAAATCTTTGTGATCTATTTTTAGGGGTGTCAAATTTAATGTGTTAACTTGAGATATGCAGTATGTTTAATGCAATCATTTTTCACATTTAATGAGTTCAATAGCCTATTACTGATTCAAAAGGCTGGTTAGAATCTTTCAAAATGTATTTAATTGTGATTATTTTATCACAATGACGTACAGTGGCAGCTATAAATATATTATATATATTCAAATTATTAGAACACTAGTATTTTCACCAGCTAAAAAATGGTTCAGAATCCAGAAGAACTGTGGAAACATCTGCAAGATGCTTCAAGAAACCTACCTGCAAATCTACCTGAAAAACTATGTGCAAGTGCACCGAGGGCAAACGCTGCTTTAAACGCAAAGGATGTTCACACCAAATGTTGATTTAATTTAGTTAATAGAAGTTCATTGATAAAGAAAATCTATTTATGACGTTATTTTTGACAGCATCCTCATTTTACAGCATTTTTACACAAGTGCCTAACAGTACTGTAGCTTTGCAGGTAGGTTTCTTGAAGCATCTTGGAGACGTTGCCACAGTTCTTCTGAGTTGAGTCTGTCTCAGTTTGTTCTGTTTCTTCACGTCATTCCAGACAGACTGGATGATGATGATGAGATCAGATCTCTGTGAGCAGCACTGGCTGTTGTCAGACAAAAATCTCACTGGATTATTACAATTAATGGCAAAATGAATGTTTAGAAATGTAAACTGATATTTCCTACTGACACACTACAGCAAAAGATAGAAATAACTGACTTTAAACCATGTTTAGCTGGTGAAAATACTAGTGTTCTAATAATTTTGGCCACCACTGTATATACAGGTGTTTATATTAAACAGCACAATAATAGTGGGTCTTTTTTCATTTACCTATATTTAGAGATTAATATTTTGTTTATATATTGATGATAATATATTTGTAACATATATAGCTTATATATAGCTGCCGTTCTACTTTAGGAACAGTGGGTAGTGGAAGAAAAAATATTTTTGTTCATTTTTATCTAGATTTAAAATTTTACATACAGATTAATAATTTTAGTAATTTGTTTAGGATATAATACAATGACAAAATAAAAGACAATTATATAATTTCTAAATTTGTAAAAGTTTAATAATTTTCTCATGCGGTATAAATAGGTCTTTATATATAGTGTGTAGAATTGTTTTATCTATATCAACTGCAATCCCCCTCAAATGAGTTCAAATATTAAACGGAACTGCATTATCTGAAATAGTTTGTTTCTCTCTTTCTGCAGCGGCTCACATTGGTGTGGGCATCAGCGGTCAGGAGGGGATCCAGGCTGTGCTGGCATCAGATTACTCTTTTTCCCAGTTTCGCTTCTTGCAGCGTCTTTTACTGGTGCACGGACGCTGGTCCTATCTGCGCATGTGCCGTTTTCTCTGTTACTTCTTCTACAAGAACTTTGCCTTCACTATGGTGCACTTCTGGTTCGGGTTCTTCTGTGGATTCTCAGCGCAGGTAGGATTTATTCGAAATCTCGAAAAAGTGTCTCATGCATGAGGAGATGTCATAACCTTGGATGTGTTTACTCTTTTATTTAGACTGTCTATGACCAGTACTTCATCACTCTTTACAATATCGTATACACATCCCTCCCTGTGTTGGCCATGGGCATCTTCGATCAAGTAAGAAAAAGAAAACATACACCTAATACTGAAACATTTTTGTTCACATTTAATAAGAAACTTACTCTCACCTCAATCTTCTTCTGTCTCAGGATGTTCCTGAACAGAGGAGTCTGGAGTATCCAAAGCTGTATGAGCCAGGTCAGCTGAACTTGCTGTTTAACAAGCGAGAGTTCTTCATCTGCATCGCACAGGGAATCTACACGTCTGTGGTTCTCTTCTTCATTCCCTACGGCGTTCTCTCTTACGCCACGCAGAGCAATGGAGTCCCGCTGGCAGACTATCAAACTTTTGCAGTTACAACAGCAACGGCCCTTGTCATCGTTGTCAGTGTCCAAGTGAGTCCAGCATTAGCACTTAAGTAGTGCTTGTTGATTTATATGTATGGTTTCCAGCTTTATATAATGTAGCAAGGAATTTTAGAACGGTTTTGAATAGCCCAAGCTTTTTGCTATTTGTTTGTAGATTGCTCTGGACACGGGTTATTGGACGGCTATAAATCACTTCTTTATATGGGGCTCTTTGGGTACCTACTTCACTATCCTCTTTGCTATGCACTCCAGCATTCTGTTCAATATCTTCCCCAAGCAGTTCCATTTCCTTGGTGAGTCAGCACTTTGGCCTAACTGCGTGGCTGCCATCTTAAACAGAAACCCATGTCTGATAATGTCTTTACAGTATGTGTCACGAGCACTATAACATCTGCAAATGCAGACAGCATTACTCTATATTCAGGTTTTTAAATGACAAAATAATAAATAATGTTAATATATAGACTACCATTGAAAAGTTTGGGGTCAGGAAGATTTTTTGTTGTTGTTGTTGTTGTTGTTGTTGGAAGAAATCCTGTTCTTTTGTTCAGCATTAAATTGATCAAAATTGACAGTGACGACTTAAAATATATATTTCAAATAAAGGCTGTTTGAACTTTCTATTTATCAAAAAATCCTTTAAAAAAATCATGGTTTCCACAAAAATAAATATTTATCAGCACAACTGTTTTCAACATTGTTAATAATAATAATTAATAGATGTTTCTTGAGCACTAAATCAGCATATTAGAATGATTTCTGAACGATCATGTGACACTGGAGTAATGGCTGCTGAAAATTCAGCATTGTCAGCACAAGAATAAATATAATTTTAAAATATATTAAAGGGGTCATATGATGTTGCTAAAAAGAACGTGTGAAATGTGTTTATGCGGTTTAAGATTCAAAAACACATTATTTTCCACATACTGTACATTATTGTTTCTCCACTATGACCCGCCTTTCTGAAACGTGTCGATTTTTACAAAGCTCATCGTTTTGAAAAGCGAGGTGTGCTCTGATTGGCCAGCTATCCAGTGTGTTGTGATTGGCCGAATACCTCAAGCGTGTGACGGAAATGTTACGCCCCTTACCATAGTGTGATGGCGTGTCCCGGCGCAACAAGACAAAAACATTAAAACCCATTACAAACGAGGCATTTGTAGCATCCAGTGGGGACATAATTACTGATTATAATGACTTATACTGTCTTTTTACACGTTGCGTTGCATCGCGCCGCGTAAACATAAAACCATGTCTGCATTTGTGATCGGAGAAATGACAAACAAGTGCTACTCTACACTGCTCAAAACTCGCGTTTGAATAATCAGTGGCAAATCCTTTAAATATGAAAACGTTCTTACAGACTGTGAGTCAGCATTATTTGTCATTGTAGGCTACTCTCCCAGGAAACAGTCCTTCTCCTCCGTAAAATGCGCTGGACACATCTGAATATTTGGGTTGAACTGTTCTGGAACAGTGTTGTAAATACAACTTAACCAACTTAACTTTCTAGTTGTGTCCTCATTTGGAAGACCAAACAAAGTAGTTTCGCTTTCACAACGAAACACACAGCGTCTCCACGACATGGCGGCAGCAACAATACTACAGCGAGATTCAAAGTTACACCTTCTTTCTTTGCGTGAACATTTGGGCGGTGTTATGCAAATCTTCCCACACAGTGATGTAGACTTGTGGGGGCGTGTTTAAACGAGGTGTTTTAGGAGAGCGTAGACAAGTCTTAACTTTTAAATAGAATATCTCTTTGGGTTTGAGACTTTAGTCTTTGCAACTTCAGGGATCTTATCTATTCACGAACAGCTTGTAACACTTCAAAGAGAAAGGAAAACTTGAAATCGCATCATATGACCCCTTTTAAAAAATAAATCTGAATTGCAACGGTATTATTGTTTTTTATCTGTATTTTTGATTGAGCACAAAAGATTTCTTACGAAAACATTAAAAATCTTACTGACCTCAAACTTTTAAATGGTATTGTACATGTAAAATTCCTTTGACAGTCATGTAGGCTACACAATAAATGAGTAGGTCATCTAAAAAATGTATACATAAATTTGTAACAATTATTTAACCTAAATTAAATAATGAAAATATAATGAATAGTAAATATAACCAAAAAAAATTATTTAAAATAAGTGTGGATTTTAAATTGTGTAATATTAAATTAGATCTTGTTTGTATTTTATCTTGATCCAAATGTGTTACATTAAATTGTGTATGAAAAACGTGTGGCTTATTTTTTGTTTTGTGTGCATGCCATGTGTTAATTAACCACAGGAAGTGCTTATAACACACTTGGGCAGCCAGTGGTGTGGTTAACTATTGCTCTGGCTACCGTCATCTGCATTGCTCCAGTCCTTGCTTTCCGCTTTCTCAAGCTGGACCTTAAACCTCAGCTCTCAGATACTGTAAGTATGAGTGTGACCCTAGTTTGTCTGTCCTAAATCGCACGCCATTTTTGAATTTGTTAATATCCATGTTCAACCAAACTAACATTCAGTAAAGACAAGACTTAAAAAAAAAACAATTACTATAATTAAATGTTCTCCTTTTTATGTGATCATTAAATAAATTAATAATGAATTTTAATGTGTGTTGCATGTTTTTAATGTTAATAATTAATATTAATATATATATAATTAATAAAATCCATTAAATTGAAATGGTCTCAAGCACTGCTCATTGAAATTGTGTTTCTGATTGTTGGATAGTTATGGTTGGTTGATTATTGCACACTCTGATTCATAGCTTAGATCATATTTGTTTCGCATCAGTAGGTTTAACACATTTGTTAGTTTCTGGTTATCCCCTCACACTCATCCCCGCCCTTTATTATTTTCTCACTGTCTTTCTGCAGGTGCGCTACACTCAACTTGTGCTGCAGAAAAAGCGGAAGCCTGGTGGGCGTGCTGGTCGTGGAGTGGGCGGCGCTGGTGTAGCCAGTGGCAGTACTCTTGGTCGCTTGGGGCGAGGTGGATCTCGACGCTCCGGTTATGCGTTTGCGCATCAGGAGGGCTTCGGCGAGCTGATCACATCGGGAAAAAATATGCGCCTGAGCTCGCTGGCTCTCGCCACATTCGCCTCTCGCCACAGCGGCAGTTGGATCGATACCCTTCGCAGGAAAAAACACGCAAACAGCACTGGTGCGCAAAACACCCCACCCACTGCAGAAGACAGCGCCGCCTCCTCTCAAGCTCCACCTCTTTCCACGTCTTTCTCAGCAGCAGGCGAGGCAGAGCAACCATGTAATGAACCCGGCCTCCCTCACAGCCCTGATGATATCGCTCTCAGTGTTATTAGGTGTCCAGAAAGAGACGTCGGAGAATGTAGTACAGCAACTTTGCAGGTAAATATACGTCTGAAAACAAGTTCAAGCACAAACTGCAAGTCAACATGCACAAATATAGGTTGTTAAACAACACTGGACAGAGCGTTGATTCTGTAGGAGCACAAAAAAACGAATTTTGTGGATTGACAAAAAAAGAAAATTTCCCCCAAGGAGAAAACGGCAGGAAGCAAAACTATTAAAAACACTTTCATTTCTCACTTTTGTACATAGTGGTATGCTCAGTTCCCCAATAATTAGGAAAACCCTATTGTTTTTTTTTTGTGAGGTATACATTACGGTTTGAAAGTTCACAATCAAAAAAAGTTATTACTTATATTCAACAAAAGCATTACATTGATCAAAAGTGACATAAAAGACATTTATAAGACATTATTTCAACTAAATGTTATTTTGAACTTTCATTTGTCAAACAATACTGAAAGAAATGTATCACAGTTTCCATAAAAAGCATTAAGTAGCAAAATCTGTTATCAAAATTGATAATAATAAGAAATATTTCTTGACCAGCAAATCAGCCTATTAGAATGATTTCCGAAGGATCATGTGACACTGAAAACTGAAATAACGGCTACTGCAAATTCAGCTTTCCCATCACAGGAATCAATTACATTTTAAAATATATTAAAATAGAAAACAGTTATTTTAAATTGTTTTAATATTTCACTGTATTCTGTCTTTACTGTATGTTTGTTTAAATGTTTTTTTTTATGAATTGAGTTATTAACACACAATATACAAATCAAGAACTTTATTAATGCAGTGGTTGCGTTTCAACTGTTATGCAAATGTTTAAAATCTGAAAGCTTAGCTGTTTTGGATTTCCCACTTCTTTTTCCCTCTTTACTGATTTGCATGTTTTTCAGTGCCTGTTCTTTGGACATAGATCTCACACAGAGCTAAAATCTAAAAATTTAAAGCATAACTATTGGTTGGGACAGCAGCTGTTGTTGACACACTGTTGAACAGAAAAGGTATAGCTGTGGTTGCAAGGGGGGATTAAGGGCAAACTGAATTTGCTGATTGATTTCTGAAATAGTACACAACGCTATTCAATGCAAAGTGGCATAATTCTTAAAGTCCATGTTCTCTCCAAAAACGTAACTTTTAAATAACATTTTTGATTAATATATTGGGAAAAAAGGGTATTGAAAGCAATCTTTTTCTGTAGAATTTTAGTAATTAGCTTCAGTTAATTTACAATTAATAGTAATGCGATAATCCCGTTTACCCAAAATAAAAAATAAAAAAAGCTGTCATCAGTGACTCACCCTCATGTCATTCCAAACTTGTATAACTGTCTTTCTTCTGTTCATTTATGTATTTATTTATTTATTTATTTTTACAATAAAAGTCAATGGTAACCAAAAAAGTGTCATTTACTCTAGTGCAGATATTTCTAAGACCTTTCATTCTCTCTTCTAGGAAGCACCGTTTGTGTGGAAGGGAATCGGAGCTCGTATCAGTGGTACCAGCAGTCCTGGTCCACCTCCCATTGCAGAAGAAACTAACAGTGGTGAGTGATGGATAGATGGACCAACTGGAATCCTTCATGTGAACACCCACACCTTCTGACGTGTGCTCATGTTTCTGTCTGAGGACATGGGCAGTGAAGACAGCGTCCCAGACAGTTTGGGAGTAAACACATGCTTGAATTAAAACACTTGGAAATGGATGCAGATTCAAACTGTGCATACAGACAGCAAAAGACCATACATTTCCTCTATTGTGCTCATTCTCAGATTTCCTGTCGGTGAGAAGGACAAATCTGCTGTTATTTGAGCTGTTTATGACTGAGTTTTCCATTCTAGCCAAGTTATCAGACAACAAACCACTAAAAAACATGGCCAAGGCTGATATTACAACACACCTGACTATCCAAATAGCTGATGTTAATTTTTCTCATATGCTAAATTACAGTCTACGTTAAATTAGATTCATTCATTTTTAATCTGGAGACAAAAAAATCAAAAATGTATACATTAAAGCATTTCTGTCTCATAGTTTACTATAAATAAATCAATGCATAACACAATATATTAATACACTGCACATGTAACAGTTGTACAGATATTAACGATAACTAAATGACCTGAAGTATCAGCCTCAGCTATATCAGGTTTTATGTTTTTGTATTCAAATTGGGTAGTTCTGGATCTTATCTTGGTCATTTGAATCTCAGTCAAGGATTGTCTGTATCTCTATATAGTAAGAGCAGTTTATCTTTTCTGTTTTTTAATCTCTTAATGACTTTCTTGTGGTCTCATACTGTTTTGACCATTTTGTCAGCATATTGTTTTGCTGAGTCAAATACTTCAGCTTTTTGTCTGTTTGTTGCTCAGAGGTTAATAATGCTACTTGAGTTCAAGCAAGTGAACTTTCTTATGTACTGTAGAGAAGGCTAGAGATTTTCAGTTTTTTCCCCACTGCTGAAAATAGCATTAAGATGTATGTGGTTCTGTGATAAAACACTATAGTTCTCAGTGAGAACATGATTCTGCTGGATGAACCCGTTCTTCCTCATCCATTTCTTTGCACCATATTGGTGCACTAACCCTGACTGCTTGACATAAAGTCCAATTCAACCTCAAACTCTGCTTTACTGGACCCTTGAGGGTTTAGGCATTTGCACTGATCCAGTGGACTGTAATAAATGTGTTTGACGGTTTTTTTTTGGGGGGGGGGGGGTTAAGTTGGATTAAAATGATTAACATCAGAGTTACCAAATGGATTCCACCTTGACATCATGATCTAAATGTGGCCTTCACCAGTGTTTGGATTTAGGTAAATGGGCTTATAAGAATGTAAACACAGTAATGTGTGTGTTATTGTGAATGGGTGAGACAGACCAAGAAAGTTGATAAAGATGTGTGAGAAGTTACTGTGCACCATACTTGTCCTGTTTCCTGTGTAAGTTAGGCCTAGCTCTCATACTGTTAAATAGGTAACAATTATATGCCTTAAAAGCTAACTTTGTGAGTGTGTTTTTTAAAAATGTGTATCTATTTCCCTCCACACATAAAAGCATTTACATATATTGCAGTAAGAGGTTAAAGGTCATTTTATGGATAGTCTGTTTCAGTGTCTGTTAGCCAAATCCACATGATCTGTGAACATCATGACCCTGCTGTTGTAAATGGGCCTAGTGCAAAATAAAAAAAATTGATACGATTAAATGATTTTAATCAAGTAAAAAAACTGATCATGGATGTGTGTCTAATTATTTTTGAATGATAAATCATTTATAAAGGAATAATTCACCCAAAGATTATCATATTATAGTTGCTCACATCATGATTTGTGAGAAACAAAAGGAGACATTTTGAAGAATTCTTCTGCTTGCTCTTTTCCATGCAATGAATGGGGACTGAAGATGTCAAACTTTCATAAACACCATTAAAAATTTACCATATGATACTTTTCTCACAAGATAAGACAAGATGATGCTCAATTTGTAAACGATTCGTTCTTTTGAGTCTGATCTTTTCAATGAATCTATTCATACAAGTATAAGTCATTATAATCAGTAATTATGTCCCCACTGGATGCAAGAAATGCCTCGTTTGTAATGGGTTTGAATGTTTTTGTCTAGTGGCTTCTGGGGCATCAACAGTATGTGGGGGGCGTAACATTTCCGTCTCACGCTTGAGGTATTCGGCCAATCACAATGCACTGGATAGCTGGCCAATCAGAGCACACCTCGCTTTTTCAGAACGATGAGCTTTGTAAAAATCGACGCGTTTCAAAAAGGCAGGGCATAGAGGAGAAACAATAATGTACAGTATGTGGAAAATAATGTGTTTTTTTACTTTAAACCGCATAAACACATTTCATTAGACCAAATACACGAAATAATGTTCTTTTTAGCAACATCATATGACCCCTTTAAATGATTTCCTCACGAATTGAGCTGATCCGGTTCTAGAGTTCAACTCACTGATTCAGTGATTCAGTCGCAGCCATAAAAAAGTGTAATGAATAACGACCCCAGAAAAGTATGGACTTTTATAACACTTTACGCCGTTTTTTATGAAGCTTTTGAAGCTTGAATTTCTACTTTTGTGTTCCACGAATGACAGACAGTCAACATTAGGGTGGGTAAATGAGACTATTCATTTTGGGAACTATTTCTAATTATTAATAAAATGTATTTATAAAAGCCATTTCTTAACCTATTGCTAGCAACAGACCTGATCTATTCTGGCGATCCTCAGAGATATAGCAGGTCTTGGGTCACGTAGTAATGTTTTATAAAGCTGACCGCAAACAGAATTAGTTTGTTCTCGGTCTTTGCCTTGTCAAATAGGAACTTGTTTGTCTTTGTGGTTCATCAGTGTCGCAAGAGCGGATTTGTTAAAGCAACAGATAGTATAATGTGCGGTGAGGAGAGGAAGGGGCTGCAGTCTTCTGTCTCTCTCACAAACAAATGAGCTCCGGATCCAAATCTGTTCGCAACTGACAATATTATTATTTTGTCAAACGAATACTTCTTTATCCTAGATCTGTACCATGATTCAAATAATAGTCCTAATGCAACAGTTACATTTAAAAATTTAAGGGTTCTCTTCTTTATTTTATTAATCTTTCTCAAATGTAAATTTTCATCTCGTTAAACTTGCTGAAAGGGTTGACATTATGACCCGTTATACCCATGTTGTATATTTTGGTGGCTGATTATTTTTTTTTTGGAAGTGAAATCTCATTAATAATGTGGACGCGATTTACACTCAAGTTTCTCCTCGGTGTATTAGCTGCGATTGAAGTTCAGCCTGCCCCAGAAGAGCTGTGTCCTCGACAAGGTAATTAACCATTTCATTTCAAAACACAACCGAGAGTTATTCATTTGGATGAATTTGTGTGATTAACCTAAATTAGCTATTCTTGACCTGTATTGTATATTTTGACTTTAAAAACCATAATTATATCTCTTTCATGGTATTGGATGTAGTCAGAGTGATTCATCTCTGACTCAGTGGTTAATGGTTAATGATAAGCGCTTGTGGTTAAGAATAGCCCAATATTAATAGACATTTCTTTAGTATTTTAACAACTTTTATCATGGGATCTTTCTTTGGTACAAGAAAAAGGTCACATTTAAACCGTCTTGGAAACTTTTTTATGTTTATGAGGTAGTTCATGTTAATGTGGACTACCTCACATTAATTACTTATTTTTTGTTCCGCTTTAATCTTAAAATATGAAGAAAATAAACGTATTAAAAATATGAATGATCACGTTTTAAATATTTTGAATCCAAAAAGAGTAAAAAATAATATAAACGATTCCTTAGTTATTGTTTGGAAATGATTGTCAGTTTTTTCAAAAACTATATAAAAATACTATTGTGGCAAAAAAGGATGAGCATATAAAGATGTGATGTGTGGAGAGAAAATATGAATGTAAATTTCAGTTCTGATGAGAATAGTTTTATTTTGTATCATTTGCAATCAAGTTATAATTGCAAAAAGTGTGTATTTAACTTTGTATATTTAAGATACATTAAATGCTAACTATGTTATCAGTCTTATTGCAAAACAACAGAGACCTTTTTAAGTACAAAAATGTTAACATTTAATTCCCACCAAAAAAAAAAAATTCTCAAACACAATATATCATTTAAGACGTGGTGGAAATGACTGTAACATTCAGAGAGAGAGAGAAAAATGACATGTATGTCTGTTGGGCACTGTTAGTGGACAAATGAAATAAACTAGTATTTCCTTCCTGAGAGCCAAAAGTGTGCATAAATGAAGTAACACTCACATGTGATACACATAGAAAGTCATCTATGAATATGAGGAGGATTTCCCTGGTAATGTTATAGCAGATGTTTGCGTATGACACAAAAATGAGGCATAGTGTGGATTTGATAGGCTTTCAATAATACTTTATTGTTTCAAAGTGCCATGAACTTGGAGAAAAAAAGTTGACCATTTTCTTTTACATACAGTGATTCCCTTTTGTCCTTTTATAATCATTGTTGTTGTATTGCTTTTAAATCATGTCCACTGGTTCAGCATACTTACAATGACAGAAAGAACGAGTGATTGTGGGGAAGAATCTGGGAGATTTTAATAAAAGGAAGTGAAAGTGAAAGTACCACTTTGCTGCATAATTTTGTTCCATATTTAACCGACGCAATGAACTGTGGGTATAATGTACTGTAGAGACCAGTATATACGAGACATAAGCAAAAACAAATAAAAACTCTGATTTATGTGATTAATTACCTAAAACTGTTTTGAATCTTCTTCAGAGCCCCTTCCTGGAGTCTTGGTCTTGAAGTTAGGAAGCAATGTTGTGTTTGGCTGCAGAGGCGATATCACTGTGGACGGTGTGCCGTTGGCTTCGGCCAGTGTCATGAATAAAAAATACAGAACCAAGCAGAGAGAAGACATCACTGTCAGCTGGACATCCCAAAAAGGTTATGCTAATGCTACACAGCTAACCAGTATGAAGGGAAATGCTACAACTGGGACATACCAAAAGACTGATTCTGCTATGTATACCAAAGCTAAAGGGGACGCAACGGTCACCGTTAAACCACCTGTAACCATAAGAAAGGAACAAACCACTTCTAGACGTGTTTTGCGTGCTGTCACTCAAACTACTGGACAGGAGGAAGAGGTCTTTGGTATCACCATGGGGACAGATTTTGAGCAAGATGATTATGAGGACTATGATTATGAAGAGGAACGGTCCAGGGTGACAAGAGGCATCAAAAAGCGAAGACGCTGGACTCTAAATGGACGACAGGTGCATGCTGGAGTGGAAAGGGGAGGGATTTTAAGACGGCCTCATCTCAGCTGGGCAGATGCTGGGAATTACAGCTGCTACAGAGGAGAGAGACTCATTTCCACAGTCAGAATCAGTGTGGGGGGTGAGGACCTTCTTTCACACTCATATTGATAAATGATTTATATATACAAATAGAAGAAATTCACATCCCTGTGCTATTTTCACAGTACCCCCAGAGAGACCCACTGTCTACTGCTACAGGAAGTTTCACACAAGTAAAGTCCGCTGTGATTGGACATCCAAAAATCCAGTAACCCCACGGCCACTGTGTTACCTTCTTCTTATTAGAGGGTGAGTGTGTGCATGTGTATGACAGAATGAATTAATTTAGCAGCAATCAGCACTTTATGAATAAATGGTTCACTGACTCATGCCATTCCCAACTGGTATGCTTGTATTTACATTAAATGTGAATTTAATGTAATAAAATGTATAAATTTAATATAAACTTAGTTTAATTATTATTTATATATGAAGTATTATATATTAAAATAATAATATTATATTATATATATATTATATTATATAAATAATAATAATATTTTTTAGATTATAAAATATGTATATTGAAAATATGTGTATATTAAAAATATATATATATATAATTAATTATAAAAGAAAAAATATATATGTGACGAGTCAGTAGCTTGATGATCCATCTGCAATTTATTAGACAAAAAGCAGTACAAGGCAGGGCAGTAAACAGTAGTAGTAGATAACCAACAGTAGACGCAATCCAGAGAACGGGCAGAGAATCGGGGCCGGCGGTGAGCAAACACAGTAGATAAACAGGCTAAAGGGGTCGGGGCTGGCAGCAAGAATCAGAAAACGAGATAAACAGTCCAGGTCAATACACAGGCAGGCAGAATAACAGAAAACGTTCAGAAATGATCACCGGGGCAAATCAAGACTTCGAACTGAAGAACAGATAAGAGTGCGAGTGTGTGAGATAATTGAAGACAGGTGCAGGGTA